TAAATTATGATGAGCCATTTTTAGCCTCTTGTGTCCTGTCATATTATGATTGATAGAGAATGACCAATTGAACTGTATCATGTGTCACATCTCAGAACACATAACACATTTTGGGAAAATAAATTATTTAGTGTAAATTGGAGCTAAGAGATTTTCTGATTTGTTTTGACTTTGGGGGAGGGGGTTGGCAATAAATAAGAGTACTATCTAATAAAACCATCACATATACCAAATACCTATTTAATAAATTAATTTATAATGGATTTTAATGCTTTTCATGAAAGTTTATTTTATGCTAGTGCATACCTTCTGTATGCCAATCATTGTCTTTAAAATAAAGTGAATTTGTTTTTTTCTTTTTGACTTTGATCTTCATTTGCAAAGGGATTCTGCAAAAATCTCCAGTTGCCTCATTTGTACAGTCTGTATAAACTCCTCTTAGGACCAAGTACAGTGGTAGCAACCTTCATTTTTTTAAAAGAGATTAATACAAAAAAAAAGCACCCTATTTGGGATTGAAAGTTGGAAAAATCATTTTCTTATAAAAGGTGTGAACGTTTTGCTCTGTTGTGAATGAGTGATTGCATGTTTTCTTCAGCGTCAAAAGTTTAGACCAAAAAAAAAAAAAGTCAATGTTCTCAAACATTATTTTATGGATTTCAGAGAAAGTTCTGTCTGACTGTTAAAACAGTTGATTTTTCAGGCAACAGGCCGAGAAATGAATGCTTGATTGACTTGGCACCCATGTGAAACGGGCCCGTTAAGCAACCTCTCCAAGTGTCTAAACATGGTGCTCACAACTCTCCCATGAAGCCAGTCACAAATTTTATGCCTCTAGGAGAAAGAACATTGCTTTTCCACTAGTGGTTCAACACACACAAAAAAACAGGTGTTGTGCAGGTCACAGACACAAACCTTAAAGGAGACTCCGAGTAAAACTCTGAAAAGGCAGGAGCGTGCCCAGAATCATGGGCACTACAGAGGGAGGCTGCCAGCGGGGTTTTGCCTTGTGCTCTAACCCTTATGCTTTTTCTCTCATAGTTACAAAGCATTCTGAGCTTAGTGCCGAGAGTTTATCTTTTGGTCCCTTCCTTCAACAACTGCAGTCAATGAAGGAAAACCTGTAGTGGCTGAGGGAGGGCTTCCAAGAAGACACTTGTGCAGGAGCTGCCATCGCAGAGTGGAGCAGAGAACCTTTCAGGTGCTGTGCTGGTAGGAGAGGAACTCTCTAATCCACCTTTGGAGTGGGAAGTGATGGTGTGCTGCTTGTTTGCATCAACTCCTGTGTCATTTCCGGAGCAACCAAGGATCTTAGCACCCCAGCGGGTCCGCACATCAGGCAAGAGGCTGCCTGGGCCTGGGAGGTTGGGGTGGGGGCCTGCTAACAATTTGGAAGCTATGCAGAAGTTCCCAAAGGCCTCCCCTTGAAAGCTTCACCTATTTGTTTTTCCCCCTTGTGTTAAGATGCTTTGGGGACTGAGATTCCCCTCTGCGTTCCCTTTGGCAGTGGCTTGTGAATCACACCCTGGTCTGCGTGATGCCTGAGCTCCACCCCCACATCCTGCCCGCCTCCTGTCCTCCAGGGAGCTATGGGCAAACCCCAGTCACTGCCCCAGATCTGCCAGACCAGATCTGAGAACAGGACCGGGCACTCCTTGTATCTCCGGCTCCTTAGGGACTGCAATGCAGCATGGCCAGGTACGGGAACCCCTCTGCTGGCCCCAAGTCCCAACATTCACTGACAGAACAGAAGGGCTTGGCATAGGAGAGGAACTGCTGATCTGAAGTGACCTCAGAAAACCCTGCCGGCTGCTCCTCACTAACCCCCTCTCACTAGAGAAATCAGTTCAGACCTAAATGGGAACTCCAAGGATCCTGGAAAACAGGAACTTGGATTCATCAGGGCTGAAATACAGTCACCATTAGGTTCAGATTAACAGGTCACATCTTTTAAACCCAGTAATGTGTTCTTTCACTTATGAGTCTCCACAAGTTGCCAACCTTTCCTCTTGAGTAGCTCAATGGTGCTGCCAGGAGTGAAGGCATCTGCCTTCCTTGTCAACATTCTGTTTTAGGAATAATGACTCACAATATTGTTACAGAGTTTTAACAGTCCTCCTACGGGATCCACACACCCATCCTGTGCAGGAAATTGGGCAGTTGTCTCCAATTTACAGAAGAGGAGATTGAGGCTCAAAGAAGCTAATTGCCCAAACTTAGCTAAAATTTGTGAGCTGAAACAAACCCAGTTCTCTCCAAATCCCAGCTTTTTTTTTTTTCTAGAACACTTCACTCTGCAAAGGCCTAACTTATTATCTCTCTGACTTAAAGGCTTAGCTAGTAAATTCATGATCCTTTAACAACTGTTAAGTGCTGTACAAATACAGGTTACTTTGTTGTTACAAGCCAGTTTGGTCTACAGTCAATACTCAGAGTACAAGTACTGTTACCTTATGAAGCAGTACCTTCAGTTTCTTTGTACCCAGGCTCCCATAATTCCATGCTCCTGTTTTTGCTTCTCCCTTCTCTGTCCCCTTTCCTGGATCCCCCTCGGCCACCCAGGCCCAGCTCTAAATGTTGACGGAAGCACGCAGACCTGGGGCTTCCTCTCTGTTTTATCTCATTCAGTATGGTGACTTAGAATCCCACTTCTGTACAGAGAACACCCGAAAGTATACCTCCTGCCTGAGCTCTCTGTAGATTCAAAGTCAAATGACCTGGAGCACCTTTTGTATGTCTTACAGAAGTGACGTAACTGGTGCTCTCTAGCCCCCTGCACCCACTTCTGCCCTGATCAACCCCCTCTTAGTATTAAGGCACCAGCAAGAAACCAAATCGGTTGTATTTCATTTCTCCCTCCCCTCTCAGCAGGTACTGTCAATTCTCCAGCATAATTCCAAAATAATCTTGAGATCACCTTAGTCCAGATCACCTTCCTTTTTCCTATCAACAGTTTCAACAGCCTCCCTAACTGGTCTTGCTTCCCTTCTTAACTCCCTACAATCCATTCTTCATACTTCAGCCACACTGCTTTTTTTTTTCTTTCCAGAGTGGTCTCCTTAAGACATAGTTAATACCTTTCCCCTGCTTAAAAACCTTCAGTGGTTTTTCTTTGCACTTGGAGTAAAATTAAGTCTCTCTACGCCTCACCTTCCACTCCCCCCACCCCAATTCACGAACTCTAGCTTCACCAATGGCCAGTTCCTCAAACCATAAACACACTTTTGTGCCACCTCGGGGCTTTCACCTGTGCTGTTCCTCAGCCTAGAATGTTCCTCCCCATTTGGAAAGTGCGTTCCTTCAAATCTCAGCTCACCCCATCTCCTCAGGCCTTCCAACATCCAGTGTAAAGTGGGTTTCGCCCGATCCTGTCCCCTGTTGTCTATCACTACCTGTTTCCCTCATTGCACTTTGTCACAACATGCATTTTTGGTTTTACTTTTGGCTTCCTAACCCAGTTTTTGTCATTTGGTAGGTCCTCAATAAATACTTAATGACCAAATGAATATTTTACTTCTGAAGACTTAAAACAGTTTTGCAAAAACTCCTGTTCCTACTTTCTCCTACCTCTGGCTCCCGGGAGCCATTTCGAAGAGACTAGACCTCCAACTTTAAAGTTCTCCTCTCCTGCTCGCCTCAGCAGGACTCATAGCCCCCACAAAGTGGAGGGGGGAGCATGTAGGAAGGTGTAGAGACTTACGGGAACACCAGCAGTGGACCTATAGGTGTTCCATCCTTTCCACATATGGATGCATTAAACGTTAACGATTTCATTAAAATGGAAATACTGATTCCTCTCTGGAATAGATCAGACCTAGAAGATAAATGAGTTTCAAGGGAATTATTAGGATCCTGTGATGAGAAAGGCTAGGTGGGGCTCACTATGACCCTAGAGTCCCTTTGGGTATACATCTCTTTTCCAAGAGTTTGTGTGTGGTTCCCCTCATACCCAAATCGGACCCGATGCCTCTTGGGCCAAAGTGAGTCACTCAGAGCAGATCCTGGGCAGTTCCAGGAAGCCAGACCAGCTGTGGAGCCCAGGCCACAAGTCCTCCCCTCTGGCACAAGGGCAGGGCAGCCTGCCAAAGGTGACAGGGTTACCCTTGGGTGACTTTGCACAACTGCTGAGCCCCTGGACCTTATCCTCCCTCCATCAAGAACTTCCTTTTTCATTCTGCTGAAACCACAACCAAATTGGAGGATTGGGCCCCTTTTCACCTTTTCCCCATAGGCCTTTATCACACTCTGCTTTCTCTAGGCAGTTTTGGTTTCTGGTCCTTAACTATAAACATCTCCATCAGCATCTCTCTTTGGGTTCTGTCTGGCTTATGGTTCCTAGTTCTAGAAGCCATCTCTACCTGCATAGTGCCTGCTGCTGTTCTCCACTCAAGAATGAGAATCACAGTCCTAGTGACTGGCCTAACTCTCGGTGGTGGGAGACCCCCACACCTGAGCTCACCCAGCCGCCTTGTTCTCCCATTCCAGAGCAACCACATTTGCAAATACTTTCTGGTGTCACAGAAAACAAGAATCAAAATGAAAGGAGCTTCCCTGAGTTCTGGTCCCCTACAGAGTGTTGCCTCCCTCTTTTTTCAAAATTATAAAGCCAAACACTTGTCCAAATTTACCAGAACTTATTGAATTTTTCTGGGTAGTGGCAGTTCTGGCTAAGATTCGGAAGAGCCCTGGCTCCCTGAGGAAGGTAGGGGACCCCAAAGCAGGGGTCACTGTGAAGCCCCACTCCCCACCCCTACCAAATACCTGAGCCTGGGGATCCCATTGAAAAGAGGATGCAAGAGACAGTGAGGAAATGCAGATGCCCCCAAAAGGGAACTCACTAATACGCTGTACAAGCTCTCCCCTAACACAGCTCTGCCAGGCACTTTTCTGCGGTTAGAAAATCAATTTATATTTTAACATTTTTAAGAATGTGACTTTCAGACAAAACCAAACATATAATCACAGCATAGTGCCTACACATTTTTAACTCCTTTTCTGCTCCCATCTTATAAAAAAATAATCATCCACGCTCCTTTATGCAGAACTGTGTGTTCCTCTGTAACCAATTCTGCTGGGAAGCCAGACTGCCCCATTCCATGGTGAAGCCAAGCTCTGGACTGGTCCAGGAAGCAGCCTTGAACGCTCCCTGTTCATCAGCACGCCACCGGGAAGTGTGAGGTTATATGGAAGAAGTCAGGCTGTGGTTTCACTGTCCCTTCTTCATGTCAGAGCTATTTCAGTTTCCTCTTTCCATTCCCAAGTGTCTCTGCCGCCCCTTGTGGGGCACTACATCTCCTTCTCAATGGCCTCCTCGCCATCATTGCCCTGCTGGGCCTGTCTCCTCTGCTGGACGAGCTGCAGGTCTAGCTCCCGGAGCTGCTTCAGAAAGCCCCGGTTGGGCAGGATACAGCGGTTCTTGGCCACTTGTTGGATGGCGTCCACCAGAGTCATGTTCCTGTGAATCATCAGGTAGGCCAGGACCAGGGTCGCCGACCGACTGCGGCCCATGACGCAATGAACCAGGATCTTACCTGAAATGCAGTGGGAACAAGAAGTACCAAACTACTAGTCGTCATTGCGTTCTTCACCACTATGCACCTTCGGGGGAGAACACAGCCAATTGCCCTTAAGAATACCCTTGGTGAAGCAGTAAAAATTAATTTACCAAATTTCAGCCCTTGGTCACCCTTCTTAATATTCTGTGTGATGAAATGGGATACACACACAAAGCACTTGCGCTACATACCAAAGTATGATGGTTATCTCAAGGAAAAGCACACGGGAGATTGAGTTGCAAGCTGAATTAGCCACTGTTTCATGAAAACACCATTTTTACTTAAAAGAATGAATGACAGAAAAACCATGGTAACTCAGACTTGGGTAGTTGGCAGGCTTTTTCTCAAAAGTGAACAAAGTAAGCCTGTTACACTAAGGAAGACAACTGATGGTATTTATTGCCAGTGATAAAACGCAAGCTTTTGAGCAAAAATTAGAATTTTGGAAAATTTGTATCTATCACCACGAAGTTAACAGTTTCCCAATGCTTTTAAGGTTTTTCTGTTAAGATTGGTGGTGATATTAAAAATACGTGTTTTTTTTTTATAATGTACAAATGAAAAGTGTCAACATTTGGAGGATCTACATGACTTAGTAAATCAATATTTTCCTAATGACCTATGTGGGATATTACAAAATCACATAGGGTAAAAACATCCATTCAAAGTGCAAGATAGACCAGTGGATTTTCATGTAAAAGAGCATGAGGTTTATCGATATGGCTTCAGATTCTACATCACAACTAGCCTTTAAGAGGCTACCATTTGTCAAGTTTTGGTGTAGTATCAAGAAGAATATCCACAATTATCTAAAAAAGCTGTTAAAGTACCCTTCTCCACCTACATATCTGAGTGAGGCTGGATTTTCTTTATACACATCAACCAAAACACTATATCACAACAGACTGAATACAGAAGCTGATGAGATTCCAACTGGATTCTAATAAGCCTAACATTGAAGAGATTTGCTAAAATGGAAGTGAATGCCACTCTTCTCCCTAACTTTATTTTGGCAAATATAATTTTTCATAAAAATATGTTATAGTAATATGCACTAGTTTATTTCATTAGTTTTAAGTGAATATTGCAAAAATGTTTGGGTTTTCTAATAGGGTAATTTTTGATGGCTATAACCTACATAAACAAAAGCTCTTTGAGGTCTTCAATAGTTTTGAAGAGTGCAAAAGGGTTCTGAGATCAAAAAGTTTGAGAACCGGGGATCTGCAAGAGTCTCTACAAGAAAAAAAAAGCTCCCATTGGCCCCTCCCATGGCAATAGCTGGGCCCAGTGAGAAGCCATGATGTGAAGCATTTTCCTCATCCTTTGGGCTTCCATTTGGTGGTGCCCTAGAGCTCACATAGTGAGCATCAACATGTTTTATCTCATTCCATCTTTAATACAACCTTCAAGGTTTCATTATCATCATCCCTGCTTTACAGAGAAGGAAACATGCTCACTGAGGTGAAATGACTTGCCAGAGGTCACCCAGAAAGCTGGCGCCAGCACTAGAAATAGTTCAAAGCAGCATGTCATTGAGGCTCTAGTGTGTGCTGGCCACTGGTCCCTGTGCTCTGGGGACAGAGAAAGTAATGAGACTAGGTTCTCAGGCTGTCCCCACCACTGCCATCCCAATGGCCACCCTCTCCTGGTTGTGGGTTCACTCTGCTGGGGTTGAGCTGGCTTGGGGCAGTGTGAACTGTGGGACTCCCAATGCTGTCCCTATTCCTGAGTCTCAAGCCTGAGGCCTGGATGGATGACCAAGAAAACACTCATGGACATCCCCGGGTTTCTGGAGTATCAGCAGGATGTGACAACAGCTTGGAAAGAACACCTCTGAATGGACGTGCCTCTGCTGTGTCCCTCTCACCTTCCTCAGGGGACCATGCCCAGGACAGCGGTGATGGTCGGCAGCCATGGCAGCGTGAGAAATCCAGTCGACCCTGCACACCAAGCACCAGGATTCTCTTTCCCACCCACCCTGGCTGGAGAGGCCTGCACACCTCGCCCAACAGGAAGGACTTCTGATGGCCTCTCCACGCACAGCGCTGGCACAGAGAGGTGCTCCATAAAGAGCTATTCATTTTATCACAATCCATTTTCATGAGTCTCCGCAAGCTAATCAGATGGTCATCCAGGCTCACCCTGCATGCTGCTGAGCTACAAGTGTGTGGCCACACAGCCTGTCCCCCGTGCACTTTGCCCGGAAAGGAGGGCAAGAAGCAGTGCCAGCTTCTTTACTGCTGAGCTGGGTTTGGGGGACGCCTGCCCCACACGACTGTGCTCCTGGAGTGGAATGTCTACCGCTGGCATTCTAATCCCCACAGACTGTTCCAGAGGCTGCCTGGCCCCTTGCCAGCTCTGCTGATAACTAAAGCGTTTCTTCCTCTCCTGGCAAAAAGGGTAATTCTTTCTGTCATGACTAAATGCTTGAAAGAGACGAAAGCTGTAGTTCATTAAGTCTTTTGGGAGCCTGAAGTCTGTTAAGTGGGAGGAGGAGGAGGGGAGGGAATGGAGAGGGAAAAGGAGGGGGTGAAATGAGGGGGGTGCTCAGCTTCAGCAGGAGCCCCTGGTGTTAATGCCATGGCCGTCTGAGCTCAGTAGGTCTCCCTGGAGTAAAGGGCCTGTCCCCAGATTCTCAGGGCACTGCTTCCTTTCTCTTTGCTGTGTGGCTCGGCTAGCACCACCCTTTCAGGCCCAGCATCGGGTGGTGAGAAACTGCTCTCAGGAGAGTTCAGAGGAGAAGGCAAGGAAGGCTGCGTTTGGCCTGTTCCCAATATGGCCCACAACAGAGAGACTGGGAGGCCAGCTGTCAGTGAGACACCAGCCAGGGTCAGGGCTGAGTGAAGGCAGCATTATCAGGGTTGGCCTTTTCTAGATCAGTAGCTTTTAATCTTTTTTCTGTGACCCCCAAAAACACTACGTAAAATTCACAGCTAACATGCATATAGCCTCACCTGGCCCCCATATCTCCCAAGTAGGTTTTTATGTATTTTATTGTAGTCAATCCTCTCAACGACTAATGAGGTAGATAAAAGATTATCCCCATTTTACAAAGGACGTCGCTGAAGTGCGGAGATGTGACTTATCCAAGTCACACAGTTAGAAAGTGACAGAACCGTGACTCAAGCCCAGGGCAACTGACACCAGAGTGAAGCTCTTAAATGTTATGTGGTCTCACAAGTGTGTGTGTATCAGAAAGTTTCACAAAATAAGATGTACTTTTATTACATGAAATGCATGCTGATGTTTTCTATTCTAATCTATTGAATTTTTTTTAAAAGAAATACTGGTTGCACTCACTAAATTGTTTTTATGACTCACTATAGATCACAATCTGTTTGGAAAATAGTGATTTCAATGAAATGTTTCCCTTTAAGCCTTTACCAAAAGGGAAGCTTCCATAATCTTTGAAGAAAACCCAAATCCAGGATCTCTACTGTTTCCCAATTGCATATTTTCACTTCTGACCAGAAGGTAGACCTCTGTCACTCAAATCACACATACAGGCCAAGCCCCCCAACTCCACCCCCCTCACCTGTACCCCTGCCCACACCCCACCAGGTGTGTACTCTCTAAGCAACCTCCTTTCTTGGTTTGGGGAGCTGCCCTTTGCCAATCTCTCACTCACTACCTTGAACTGGCCTTCCTCAGCAGCTCTCAAAGGCAGAATTTATACTTCTCCCCAAACCGATCTGGGTGTGTGGAAGTCCTTACAGCGGTTCTCAACCTTCCTAATGACGCGATCCCTTAATACAGTTCCTCATGTTGTGGTGACCCAATCATAAAATTATTTTCGTTGCTACTCTAAAACTGTAATTTTGCTACTGTTATGAATCGTAATGTAAATATCTTTTTGTTTTCCAATGGTCTTAGGCGACCCCTGTGAAAGGGTCGTTCAACCCCCAAAGGGGTCGCGACCCACAGGCTGAGAACGCTGCCTTAGAGAAAGGGTGTGAGGTGTGTTTTGAGCTACCAGGGGGCAGGCCTGTGTGTGCTGCAGTGGGGCAGCAGACCCTTAGAACACCCTGAAAGTCTGATCTGGTGACTTGATCTGGTTAATTTTCCACAGTGTTTTCAGGGGTCACACAAAAGTTTAAGAAGCTTAGAAACACAGAGAATCAGCCTCCTGCTCAAAAGCAGATTTCATTTATTTATTCATACCTGCCTTATCCATAATAGATTTTAAGATGGCTTCAAAAGCAGGCAGTGGACTATTCATTTAAGAAAAAGACAGAACGAATGAAAGAGTGGTGATACTAAAATCTGATCTTTAGAGCCTCTACCCTGGGCATCTACCCTGGGATTTCTTAGAAGATTTCATTGAATTAAAACCATGCTAATTCAACTTGGAGAATGCTGTGCCAGGATCAGTTAAGGCAGTCCAAACGGGGTTCCCATGGCAGTATTTTGTCAATACTTCTTTTTCTGATGAAAAATGACAAGTTCAGTTGTTTCCAATCCTATAACCAGCTGGAATGCCTCACCTTCCATGCTATTTGGTGACCTCTCACAGAGCAAAGTCACCAGATGCTCAAAATAAGGGCAAAGGGTCCTTCCACAAGGCCTGAGTGACAGAAGGAATTCCCACTGGCCTCTGATTAGCTCCGTGACACTGGGCACATCACTTGGCTTCTCTAGGCCCCTGTTTTCCCAGCTCTCAGGGCAGGACACTGGCCCAGATTATCCGCAAGATTTTTCAAGAGCGACTGAGGAGCTCTTGCCTGGGGAGCTCTTCCAGAAGGGTCAAGTCAAGGTAGGGTAGGAGCAGCCGTGGGGCCATGGGGATAATTACAGGCCAGGAGTACAGTTCCACAGCTCCACAAAGCAATGCTTTTCAAAAAGAGTGAACGAGATAGGCTGTGAGGGGCAGCAGTGGGAAACTGTACACTTGACTGAAACTAGCCAAGGAATAAGAGGAAAGACGAGAGAGGACAGACGCCTTGCCTTTTGGCCAGGCTGTCCATCAACACCTCTTACATCAAGAGTGTAATAAGGAACATATGAGTGGGCCTGGCTCTAAAATGCTACAGTCAAGTCCCTTGGTTTTCCAGTGCACGACTAGACACAATCAGGCCACCTCGTGCATGTGGCACACAGGCTGAGCACATGTCATCTCGGTTGTTTGGAGCCTGTGAAAATGCCGTTGCTGAGCTAACCAGCACTTTATTTTGTGACGTTGACCACTCAGTGGCTAACAAACTGATAGCCACTGGGTTTCTTTTGTTTGGCCTTTGCAGCATTTTAAGAAATGTTCAATTTGTTGCCAACACTTAAAATTTGAGTGATTTTACATTAAAATCCAGATTGGAGACGTTTCCTGAAAAGTTAGATCAATCACATTTGCACTGAGTCTCACAAGGCAGATGTTGGCTGGGACTGCGTAGCAGCTGACCCCTGCTAGGGGATATGGGGCTCTTCGTTAGCCTTGAGCACCCCCTACCCACACCCCGCTGCCTTAATACAGCCAGCTCCATCTGTCCATGTTCTTTGCCTGGTCCTGAAGTGTTGGCGTCTGAGTCCCCCACTTGAGGAAGTCTTTAGATATGCAAGTGCAAAGGGCACGGAAACAGGAGTCCAGCCTCCCACCTGGCCATATAGTCATGTCCAGCTCCCCATCCCCAGCCAACTGGTCTAGTCTCCCACCCCCTGCATGTTCTCTGACATGGGTGTGTACTTTTCCCTCTTGACCTTTCTCTTCTAGGTGCTTTCAAGTGGCCTATTAGTGACGAGCCACACCAGCCTGACCTCTCCACATCGATGCTCTGTGATGTGCCCAGGCCTAAACAGGACATGAGAGCCCCATTCTTTCCTGGTTTGGTAGTTGGGGGCAGACTCTAAAATCATGTGCCAGGAACCAAAAAACAAGCTGTCATGTGAGTATATCATGCAAGTTCAAAGTTGGAATGTCTTTTTTTCTTTGGGGATTGGAAACTTTATGATGATGATGTGCATGTGTTAGTGTGGTTATGTGTTTCACGGTGCACGACCTCTCTTTATCAAACACATCTGAGAGCCTGCTGCGCACCAGGTTCTGCGCTAAGTGCTTTGTGTCGGTTACTGCTGAGCCTCATTAGAACATTTCAGGGTAAATATTTTTAGCACCAGATGGAGAAACCAAGGCTCTGAGAAATCAGACTGTTAGGAAGTTGTGCGGCATGAATTTGAATCCAACCCTGTCTTCTCCAGAGCCTGCCAGACCCCTTCCATTAAAGGGAAGGTCGAAGATACAGGAATGGCAAGTGAAACTGAAGGATTGGGTGGTTGTACTGTTGCTTTTTGTTATGTTTTTTTTTTCACGTCAAATATGTTTTCAGTTAACTTCAAATACTCTGAGGCGAATTTCACCTCGCAATGATGAGTCAGAGTCCTGTTGCTTTTTGATCCTGCTGGGAAATCCAGAATGTGCATAACACAAAAGATGGCCCATAAAAAAGACTCATAAAAGAATGACTTTGAAACAAGGCATCAGCTCCTTGGGTTTCTTTTTCATTGTGACATTGCTTTGTGAACCAAAATAATGACAAATTGTTGGTGCTGCAGGGCTGGCTCTGAGGCCACGGCCACCTTGGCACAGCCATCAAGGTCTGGGGCTGTTCAATAGTCATGGCCTAGGCCCATCCACAGCCTGCGAGTTCCTAAAGCAGGCTAGTCGGTCAGTCAGTGAGCCCTGTAGTCCCAAACTGTTGTGGTAAGAAAGGCTTTCAGTACAGCAGTCCCCCCTTATCCGTGAAGGTTGTATACCAAGACCCTCAGTGCATGCCTGAAACTGCAGATAGCACCGAACCTAATCAACTTTTTCAACTCTGCTGGAAATGTGGCAGCAGCTGGCTTCATCCGCAGACTCAGCCTCTCTAGTAGTTTGTATATTTTTCAGTCGAACCTATTCCTGAATCTGTGTAGCCATCCCTCATTTGCATTAAATGACTTGGTGTCACTCATTTCAGGGGATCCCTTGCTGAAGTCTTTGTATAAGCTCAATGTTTTCCTGTGCAAAATGTTGCCATCAATCAGAACATGTTTTCTGTTCATGTCTTCCACCCACAAATTTAATGCTTTTACCATCTTAACTAAGCACTTGTATTGAATGCTCTGCGGTGCTAACTTTTGCAGCTTAAGGTGTGACAGAAAAATTAGCAGAAATTTCTTCTTCTTCATAGTTTCACAGATAGAAAATTCCTTTACAGCAAGATCTTAGCAACCTCAGCATATGATTTTTTTTTCTTTTCTTATTAAGTCAAGAACTTTCACCTTTTCACTTAAAGGAAACACTTCAGGGCTTTTCTTTGGCATATCTGAATTGTCAGCATCACTACTCTTGCACTTTGGGGCCATTAAGTAAAATAAGGGTTACTTGAACTCAAGCACTGTGATACTGAGACAGCCAATCTGATAACCCAGCCGGCTCCTAAGTGACTAATGGGCAGGGAGCGTCTACAGTGTGAATACGCTGGACAAAGGGATGATTCACATCCCTGACGGGATGGGTTGGGACACTTGGAGATTTCATCGCTACCCAGAATGGTGTGCAATTTAAAACGTATGAATTGTTTATTTCTGGAATTTTCCATTTAATATTTTCAGACTACAGTTGACTGCAGGTAACTGAAACCAAGGAAAGTGAAACTGCAAATAAGAGGGGGGGAGTACTGTAACTGGATACCCCGAATTATGTGATGGCCCCATAAAGAGATGTGACACACAGAGCTGAAGTCACGGCACAGATTAGGGAATTCAAGTCCTTCTGGCCTCTACGGAATGCCACTGAAATACACCCTGCAGCAATAACTGCATATTGTCTTACCTGATGCATGCCTAAATTGTGCCCTCCTCTCCAAAATAGGCTTGTAGCCTCTCCCTGGATTAGGGCAGCTAAAACTACATTTTGAGCACAAGGACTAGCACTGTGATTTTAAAAATAGATAATTAATCCTCGGAAATTTGGGCATCATGAACGGGTGCAAAGCTCAGTCTCAAATATAGTTTTCCACTTATAGAGACTAAGTTGTCAGCTTTCTGCAGGAGGTCTCACTAGATTGGGTATGATGGGGGTGAAGAAAAGGGGTCAGGGAGGCTGTGAGCTGGGTGGGTTGGTAGGAGAATTTGAAGTTTCTCCATAGATTCCTACTCAAGTTAGCTGCCCGAAGGTTTTCTGGCATGAAAACTCTTGGCTTATTAGTCGGGTTTGGGCCCAGGCACGTTAGTGTCTCTGGCGCATCCCAGCTTTGAAGGCTCCCAGATTGCCCCTTGGAGGGATGGCTGGTGTGCCTTATGGAAGAGAGCTTCAGGCCCAAGGCCTCTCCTCTGAACCCTCCCAATGCCAATTCAGTCAAAGCCGGAATTCCACCAGCAGCGCTCAGTGGGGCTCACAGCAGCACACCCAGGGGCTCAGACATTTCCAGCTCATCCACGTGCAACCCAGGAAGGGCCAGCTTTCAGAGGGGAGCAGACATAGACAGCACAGATGTGTGAGGGGTGCGACCTCGGGCTGGGGGCGGGGCCTCTGGGGCGGGGCCACAGTTGGGCGGCAGGTCTTACTGTCATCCAAGCCGAGTGCCCTGTCGATGAAAGAGGCCGCTGAGTAGAAGAAGACGCTGAGATCAAAGGTGGGCAGGTCGTCAGCCTCCACTCCGTGGTACTCGATGGCCATGTCGCGGTAGTAATTGGGCCCCGTGTCCACGTTCCAGCGGCCGTGGGCCGCGTTCAGCACGTGCGTGAAGCCTGCCTTCTGCAGCCTGTAGCGGTCCAGCGCTGTCGCCCTGGGTGCAAGGGAGAAAAGGTGGTCTGCTGTGTGGCGCTTTAGCCTGGATCTGGGGGCAAACTTGGGCACCGCCCAAAGGTTTCTGCTATGGATTCTGGCTCCAGAATAAGGATTAGTCATTGAAATGAAGGCCTTCCCTAGTCCAAAGCCCTGCTCTTACTGAACCCTTGGCCACCTGTGCCATTTCATGTTTCTGGCTGTGCCCCTTCTAAAAGGGAGAGGGTTGGAGGGTGGGGTAGGTAGCTACTCATTTGTCCTTTCACTCTTTCATCATTCACCAAATATAGAAAAGCTGGGTGCTGGACACTGTGGTGGCTGCAGGAGTGGACTGTCACCTGCCACATCCCCCAGAAGGCCGCCATAATAACCTGTTCATCAGGTAATGTTGGGATGTAAGGCAGAATGCCACCTTCACAGAACCTCAGGGGACCCTTTCAAGCAGCCTCTCCTCTGACCCCTCCGGATGTTTGTAATATTTGGAGGTTGGGGCTCAAATGAACGGTTTCAGAGGAGTCCTTCAGTGCGAGGATTTGATTGGGACTGGGCAAAATTCCTGGTATAGGTGTTCATGGGATTGGTGAACACAATGCAAAACCCTTGCTTTGATAAGTGAATCATTGCCTGGTTGGGCAAAGCACTGTGCTGAGAAGCAGAGCTATTTGAACCATCTATTGTCTGATGTCGGGAAGTTCTTGAAGCCAACGGTGAAGTTATTTTCTTGTTTATAGCTTTATCTTTCTAGGCAAGAATTTCCAGGAATGAATAATAAAGTCATGGAACATGAGGCGGAGGAAGCAGGGGTTATTTCTGCCTAGAGAGGTCGAGGGAGACATCACTGGAGGGGGCCTATGAGCCTGCCTACTACAAACGTCAGCCCTTTGTGATGGTGGGGAAGACAGAGGCAAGGGCATGCCAAGCCAAGGAAGTAGCACAACATAAGGGATGGAAGCTGGCGATAAGGAAGGCCTTTCAGGAAATGTTTATTATTTCCTGCAAGCAATCATTTATCCCCGAATAATCATTTAGATTCTATTGTGAGCCAGGCACTGTCCTGGGTGCTGATGACGCAACAATTGTCCCTCAGGAAGCTTAGATTCTAATAAGGCTAGCAAGTAAACCACAAATGAATCAGCAAGGTAATTTCAGATAGCAGTAAGAGCTGTGCAGAAATAACCTGCTCTAGGTAAGGTGGTCAGGGGAGATCTCTGCAGGGAGGTTGGCATTTGAACTAAGAATGAGAGATGAGAAGGAGCTAGGCGGGGGAAGAGCTGGAGGAAAAGCGTTTCATCCAGGAAGAGGGAACAGCAAGTCCTATGAACAGAAGGGAAATGAATGAGGGCAGTACTGGTACAAGAGGAATTTGGAAAGGTAGGCAGGGGCAGGGGCAGGGGCTGGGTCATGGTGAGCTCTGTAGGCCACAGGAGGCAGTTTGGATTTTATTCTAAGTGTGATGAAATGCCACATGCCACAGTGGACTTAGAGGCAGGGGTGAGCATTGTTTACTTTTAAAGGATCAGTATGGCCGATTGTGGAGATGGATAGGAGAGGCGCAAAAAATAGAAGCGGGGAGCTCTGTTGGAGGCTGTCACAATTATTCAGCCAAGAGAAGAAGGTGGCTTGGATTAGGGTGATGTCACAGCAGACTTACTGATGGATTGGGAATGGGGGCAGGGAGGAGAGGACTGGTTTGGACAAAGCATAGCATGTGAGAGGAGAGGAGAGAAAGTTTTGCAGAGGGACTGTAGGATTCGATCATGGAAGTGCTTGGGTGTCAGGATCTGTATTTGGGGGTCAATGAGAGCTTTTGATAGTATTTGCGGAGGGGTGATTCCATCTGGACTTTAAGACGACATCTCTCAACAGCACAAAGACCAGTTCTACAGCTCAGGGAAGAGGTGACGGGGGTCTGGAACCATCACAGTAAGAGGCCAAAAGTGGCATTGTGCTCCAGCTGACGGCTCATTTCAAGGCCACTGGTAAAAGGACGTGGACAGAAGTGGCCATATTGGATGCCAACATGGGTCAACATCCTTGGCAGAGAGGAGCCCTGCAGCAGAAACACATGCTGTGGCCCCTGGGTGAGCTCCCCCCACACTTCAATCACTGGTTTCCTGTAGCCTTTTGTTTGCCATGAGAGGAACTACGATGGAGTCCAGTGTTTGGGAAAGAGAGAGCTGAACCCAGGCATTGAGCTTTTAGAAACATTTGCTGACAGCCCATCGGGACTGAGGAAGGGAGCTGGGGAGTCCCACCAAGCCCCCCAGCTGGCCTTTGGTGCTACCATCCTGACTATGGAATACATTCTGCTTTCAATTTTTCCTCAGGAAGGTCTGCTTTTCATTTTTCTTCTTGTCCTAAAGTATGTATACAACAAACATTATGCTTTAGGGATATAGATCTGTGCTTAATTAAAGCCTCCACTAATGCAGTCCATCTTGCTGAGTAGCAATCAACCTCACTTTGAGGTTGAGCTCAGTGGAAAAATTAAAATTAACTGTCCTTGACAGGAAGTTTCTACCCACCATAAAGACTGTTCTCTCTGGGTTCAGCAGTTGGGTTTCAACATAATCAAATAGCAGTTTGAATAAATAACAGTTTGCCCTTTGCCACTTTTGGGGTCAAGGATCGGGGTAGATATGCAACAAGACTCATTGCATGACACCGTCACTTCACCCCACAGAGCTGGTTTTGCCTGGTGTCTGAGGGACAGAATAGGGCTCATGGGGAGGATTAGACCTGGTGGGTATCAGAGGTCCACTGCAGGTTTTCAGAGCTCTGTGGCTACCTGGGCAGGGGAGAGGAGGTGGCATTCTCACACACCACCTGGGATTTCCCCCTAGCTTGGTTTACTCAGTCTGGTTGAGGGCTCAGAAGAGTATCCGTGGCAGAATGGGGATCTGCAAATCAACAGAGTGACTCAATACTCTTACTAGACAGGGGCTTTGATGGGGCAGATCCACACTTGACCAGGATGCCTAGCTCAGCAATTATTGGGAGTGGAGGGGTGGTGGTGTCAGGGAGTGCTGTGTCATACTGCTTTGTTTTGTTTTTTTAAGTTTCAGGACCACCTGATCAGATATGTTATGTGGCAAATAGACTAAGAAACGTGCTTTGCTGAAAGAGAAAAGCTCAGAAGAAAAACAGATTTAGGAATTTACTTCTAGAATCTAGATGATGCAGGAGCTTTAGATTCTGGTTGTTTAAGAAAAATCCTAGATGTAAGCAACCTGTTGATTTAAAAAATAATATATTATCTAATTATGAAAAGAACACAAGGTCAATGCAGAATGTGGAAAACATAACCCCACCACCAACACCACCAAAAAAAATTACCTATAGTTCTACCCACTAGAGATAAAGACTATTTGCTGTTTGATATAAGCTCTTCCAGTTGTTTTTCTATGCATAGATTTGTATATTTTATGTAGAGATTTGTTTGGGGGTATAATACTATATACAGAGTTTCAAAGAGTTTGACATAGTGATATATTGTAAACATCTTCTGTGTCAACATATTGCCTTCAATAGCAGCGTGCTGTTCCATCCTATAGGTAAATCTCAGTTTCACCTCACAAGCCCCTATTTTTGGACATTTGTCTTCTCTCTATCCCTAGCTCTATCTCTATCATCTCTATCTCAATATCTCTGTCCTCTCTCTCTCTCTCTCTCTCCTTCCCTTCCTCTCTCCCTCCCTCCCTCCCTCCCTCTCCTGAAGAGGGATTGACAGGTATTATCAGAAACACTATAAATAAACAACTTTGGTGTACTTCTTTGGCACATCTTTAATTATGTTCTTAGGAGCAATTGTTTTTAAGTGGAATTGCTGGATCAATGGGTATGAGCATTTTAAACACATTTGATACTCATTACTAAATTATCCTCCAGAAAGCTTGCTCAAATTTACATTCCTATTTTTTAATTCTTTGCTGATTTCACAGGCAAAAACAAAAACAAAACAAAACACCACCAACAAAATGGTGTCTCATTTTCATTAATTTGTTTTAGCAATGATTGGACATTTTCTCACACATGCGTTGGACTCGTGCAGTGTACTTTTGAAGAACATTGTTATATCCCTGTTTTTTACCCAATTCTCTTTAGCTCCTCTTCCTGTCTGTGAACCTCACCTAGCTCTGGATTCTAACACCAGATTGGAGAGCCAGAGAAGTGACTTCCTTCTCGCATGTCCATTTCCTCAGTGGGAGACCTTCCCTCCCTTCCTCCCGCTCTAGCGTGGTCCAGCTTCCTTCTAACCCCTTGGAGTTCCTCCCAGAAGCTTGCTTCAACCCCGCACCCTTTAGGACACTCTGCGTGAGGCAGTCTCCTTGGGCAGCACTCCTGACGTTCCACTTTTTCAGGTCCCTTGCTGCCTTCCTGATTCTCAGCCTACATATCTCAGCATCCTCCTGAAAGCCCATTTCCCCCAAGTGTATGCTGTTGGGGAGGGGGGACATGCATGTACGTATTTGTACAAGCCCTCCACCAGCTTCCTGGCAGTGGGAAACCAGCTGCTCCCCCATGTTGCCAGGATCCTGCGCTAGAAGAAAGCCCACTAAATGATCGACCAGATGGTTCTCCACACCCTCGTGTCTGTGAGGACCCACCGATTTCTCACACCTTATGGACTCCTGTTCATTTATGACTTGTATCCTGTAATTTGGCACCTTATTTATTCTGATGCTGTTGTGATCGCACTTCATTTCGTGGACGTGACCCTGATGGTGACCTCCTCCTTTGGAGTCTTGACCACACCTACTCCTTGGACTTTAAAACAGCAGTTCCATTTCCAGTTTTTCATCTTGGTCAGTTCACCTGATATGAAGTGAAATTCACTGGCTTTGTAGTTTCTTGGGTGTTCTTATTATTTGCTGATAATGAAACTGTTCGGTTTTGAGGCCCCTCATAAAACACAGGGCCGATACGTGTAGTTTATAAGCTTAAACTGCCACATGAACTAAAACAACTGAACCTCTGGGACCCTCAGTTTTCTCTATTTGT